CCCCCCCCAACCATCGAAACAATTCTGCTCACACAAAAACAAACCTGTTGTTGAAGAGAGAATTTGGGTCATTCTTATGATAGCCAAGTTCATCAAACTCCATGACAGCATCTGGTTCATTTACCGACGCCAGCTTCCAAACCGATTGCTTACTTGCCGAGCATAAGCTACCACGGATTTAGCCCATTTCCTGATCCCACTCTTCAACTTCTCCGAATCCATCTCTTTCAAAGACTTCCCATGTTCCATTGGTAGTTTTGGGGACGAGAAACAGAGATCGAAAGATCTCCTGCGCTTTCTGGCAGCCTTGTGCCTCGCCGAGCGCTTGGCCTCCTCAGCTTTGGTTAGAGATAGAGACTTCTTCACAGACATGGTCTTTTTTCTCGGCTGCTGCTCGTCTGCAGCCAAGGATTTGGTAGAAACTGTAGATAATTTGATTTTGGGTCATATTTATATAGCAGAGATAGCAACTAGAACAAGCAACAGGTATTGCACAAATGCGTGTTGTATAGGCACTTCCATTGACTTTTGAACATTCAAAATATGCTGTTTCTTTTTAGAGAAGTCTCAGGGTTTGCATAACTTGTTGGTACGTTTTAGTGATCTCATCATGTTTTATTGGAATGATATGAGAAGTTGCTGCCATGTCATAAGTATTACCAAAATGGTTGGTGGTTGATGTTTGTGGTTGCAACCAGGTGCATTTTGGAAGCATGGAAGTTTGAAAATTCAACTCTGACCATTTCTATGCAAAAAGAAGATTAATTGAACTAATCAATGCAGATTTAGATAAGCCAAAGTCATTGTTCATTACAGAGCCATCGGTGAACAACCTCTGGGGCCAATGCAAAATCTTCCTTTTCAAAGGCTTACTGAAGTCCCTCTCCAATTATGATCAATATTAGATTCACTTCAGTTAGTCTATTCAAAATGAAAAAGTGACATCATTTTAGTGCACCATGGTTTATAATCTTTTCAGATTTGTGCCTTTTTGTTTGACCATTGAATAAGTCTTGCTTCCATTTCTTCTCATTTTTTTATATAATGCTATTTTCTTTTACACTAAATGGTTTCCCTAATTTGGTTCAAATGCTATTTTCTTTTACCTAAATGGTTTCCCTAATTTGGTTCAAGGACGCCCATGGAACTTTCAAGGAATAACCCTAATAAGAATGTGAGATGTTGTCCTCTTTGGACTTCATTTTTAGATTTTCAATCAAAGTTTTAAAACATGTCTACTGAGGAGAAGTTCCTACATTCTTATAAAAAATGTTTTCTTCCCCTCCCCAACTGGTGTGGGATCTCACAATCCACTCCCTTGGGGTCCAACATCCTCGCCTACACTCCGCCCGATATTTGGCTCTAATATTATTTGTAATAACTCAAGTATACCGCTAGTAGGTATTGTCTTTGGGCTTCCCTTCAAGGTTTTAATATGCGTTTGTTAGGGAAAGGTTTCCACACCGTTAAATGTTTTGTTATCCACCTCCTTAAATGTTTTGTTATCCTCTCCAACTGTGGGATCTTACAATCCACTCCCTTAGGGGCCCAATATCCTCGTAGGCATACCGCCCGATGTTTGGCTCTAATACCAAATAATGCTTTGTTCTCCTCTCCAACCGATGTAGGATCTCACAATCCATCCCCTTGGAGGCCCAACATCCTCTCGCTTACACACTGCCCCGTGTCTGGCTCTAATACGATTCGTAATAACTCAAGTCTACCGTTAGTAGATATTGTCCTCTTTGGACTTCCCCGCAAGGTTTTAATATGCATTTATTAGGGAAAGCTTTCCACAAACAAACTATACGTTACACGTTTAAAAATCCAGAACAATTCTTAAGGACCATTCAACCAACCCTAATAAAAAGAATCCAAATCCAAAGCAAACAATATCTCAAGAACAAATTTAGAAGTTTAGTGAGAATAAATTAGTGATAATGTTGTTTACAAACATTACAATGGGAATTGGAAGTTATTAACTCTTGAACTAAGAAAAAGTAACTAATAATACCAAATACCAGATGATTCCAAACACCATCTTTACAACTCTGCCGCCGCTAGTTTTACATTATATACAACCCTATCAGAAACCAAGCTTCCTACTCCTCTCCTCCTACCGCTTCCTCTCTACAATAATATCAAAATATCAAAGAACTTGTACAGTTGATGCTATCAATCTAACTTAATGTTGAATACTGCTGTATGCATACCACAAACTCTAAATCAGATAATTCAAGCAAAGCTATCAAAGAACAAACCCGTCTCATGGGATGCCTTCTGTTAACGCATGCTGTGATGGTCGACCTATACCGCTCACTGCTTCGTTTATCCGACTGAATACTACTTTAAGGGGGATGCAACTGATGACATGATCGTTTGACTTCTGCACCAATCGTTTCGGCTGATTTTGGTGTCGGTTACCAGTCAGCGACGATAGTTTGCGGATCTTTTTACATAAATGCCCCGTTTTTTTCATTCTCGGCGATTTGCTCGGTGAGAAACAAGGTTGGGATGGTGATTGTTTTGACTGTTTGGCTAGAGTTCTAGTAGATGTGATGTGCTTGACTGCGCAACGGTTATAGCCGCCTTCTGGTTCACTATCTGCTCGGCTCAACAACGAATCGCAGTGCCCGTCTTCCATAACTTCTACAGTGAGAGGATGGCCAACTATGGCTTTACCATTCAATTTACTCATCAGAGATACCAATGGAACATGCTGAGGCCTATAGCTCGCTTTCACCTCAAGCTCAACATCATATAATAATGAATTCGCTCCGTAGTTTCTAACGTAATATTCTGGCATCTGATATCGAGAATGGACAGTAAAGCGGGACGGGCGATAAGGAAGCAACTTTTGAGGTATCAGAGAGTCGTCAAGCAACGGGTTCACCTCAGTTTTCAGTTCGCTTGCATGAGGCTTCCTGTTAGGTATTTGTTTACCCCACTCGAGTAGGCTACGATCATTTGCCGATGGGGATCGACCAAAGCTGTTGCAATCTACTTTACCTGCCAAGCAAGAATCCGATGCATCTTCCACATCCAAGGAGTTTATTGAATCTTGTTTTCTGTAGTTACTTAAATGCCTTGACTTCCTCTTTCCTTTTATCTGCCACCTTGAAGTACCTCTCTCGATCTTTTGGTTAATATTATCGTTACGAACGGCACCTGAAGTCGTAGAACTGGGTTCCTTCGTTGCCTCATTTTCCAAAGATACTGGACTGTTTCGACTCGACTGCCTTCCTAAGGTACCAACCTTAGATCTACCGGATGAAGAAGAGGGATTCGTAGGAGAAAAACCTGACAGTTGAGGAACAAAGATCAGTAATAATATCATCGAACGGAAAACTAAGAACTTCCCAATATATGGCACTGCAGCACGGTTCGACAACAAGCAATTTGAAAATGAACAAGCGATCTCTATTCGTATCAGCTGAACTGACAGTAACGAGGTCAAATGAAGCAAAAAGTTCATTGAAAAACGATACACAAAGGAAAAAAATATGGTTAGTATAAACGATGCCAAAGTCGGGGAGTAGAAATGCACATCATCTAAAGATACTAATTTCATCAGTTAAACAACAGATAGTAAGACATAAAGTTTAAAATTTATAATTGTTCACTTCGAGCATACCAGCAGCGTTCTTCTCCTCTCCAACAAATGGCACGTCAAATAGCTTATCGGAAGTGTTATTTTGAGGGAGCTCCGATATACTGGAGACTTCATTTTCCTTTGCCTCGGAATTTATCCGAGATACTTCCAAAGCACTTAATGAGGCTTCATTGTCACGAGAAACTATGCCATCGCCATCGGAACTATTGATAGTCACCGAAGAATTACTTCTCTTTTTCTCAATATCTAATTCAGCCGGTTTACCATCAGATGTCCCTCGTGCGAGCGAACTGCATGTATTAGGAAGTTGATCACAAGTCACAGGAACAGATACCATTGCTGTACTCTCCAAAACCTTTGTCAACGGTCGATGGCGATTTTTCCTTTTCAAGAATTCCTGTACAGTTGGCACCGGAGATCTTTTTCTTCTCAATGACGATGAATACATATGAATAATCTTTGGGGGATTTCCATTAGTCACACAATTCCCGGCATTCACGTCACGAGGAGAAGCAACCTCTTGTTGAACTATTTCAGGTTGGTCTCCTGAGTGGGCTTTCCCATTTGCCAATGAACCGATACCCAAATCTTCAAGTCCTCTCATACGCTTAACGGTTCCATCATCCTCTGAATCATTCGGCGTTCTCCTCCTATAATGTTCAGATAGCACCTTCGAAGAACTGGCATGATTAGTCTCTTCCAAAGGAATGTCTGAATGAGAAATTTCAGGGGCTGAATAAGAACTCATTTCAGAATTACTTTTCTTTGAACAAGTGTCTTCAGAATTACTAACATCATCCGACATGATGGCTTCTTGTTCTTGTTCTTGTTCTTGTTCTTCTTCTTCTTCCTCCTCCTCCTCCTCTACTTCTTCTCCTTCTTCTTCTTCACAAGAATCCGACACAAGAGGAGATTCACTAGCTAAGACAGCATGCTCGCCATCTGACGCACTTTTCTGAGTCCTATAGCTAAATTCCAACTGGTCCTCACCTAGAAGGGCATTCTCAAGCTCAAGAGCATGTAAAATTGCATCTTCCCTCCGGGCGTATTTCACAGCCTTCTTACAAGAGTTCGCTGCAGAAGCCTTTGCCTTTTCAATGCATTCATCATATTCCCCACATCGAAACGCCTTCACCCTCTTAGATTTCTCAAGATTGTACCAGTCACTAAACCAACAAGAGTAAGAGTATTGTCACAAGAAAGAAAAACTTCAAACAAACAAAACCAGACCAGACATCAAACATTCAAATATAGAGTGGTATGGGCAACTGCAAGGAAAAAAAAACACAAACCAATAACAGCAGACAGACACAAATGTCAACGTTTTGGTTCAAAGAACAGCCAAGTGAGAACCACACAGATTTCAAACATGATACACAATATTGCAGAACAAGAAGGGTTACAAGTAAAGGCAGCAGTATGGCAAATGGCGACAGAGACAAGGAGATAATATAATCAAACATGAATCAAATTAGTGAAGAACAGAACTGAAATGAACCAATAACAGGAAGCAATTACATGCTTGCGTCTTCGCGACCTAGAAGTTTCACCGGCGTACCGGATCTCGGAGAAACCAAACAACTCTCCGACAATTCATGGAGGCCCAAAATCTTGCCCGGCCACCACGACCCATTTCGGCGGCGGACCCAAACTAACCCTCCAACCGATGAATCGATACCCTTGGCCTCACCAGAACTCCCCATCTCCAAAACCCCCAGAACCCAAAGACCAGGGGAAAATTCCTCGAATGAACCCTCAGCTGTTCATTTTGAAACACAATCCACAGTCATAAAAACCGTCAAAAACCTCGCTATCACCCACAAATAAACACAGCACTAACAAAAAGGAAGCTCTGGGAATAATAAGATTAAAAAGAAATGCATTACTTGCATGCGGCAGAGACAAACAATCCGAAATGAGCTTCAAAGGGAAAGGAAAAAGCGGCAGTTAAGACCAGGATGAAAAGGGTTCAAGGGAAAAACAGAGATCTACAACGAGCTCCAAGATTTATGAGTCTTTCTCAACATTACTGCGCAATGTTTCGGCGGTTTTTTATATGATTTTTCTGTTGACATCCATTTATGTTTATGGGGTTTTCTTTGAAGAAGCTCGTATGTGGTGTAAAGGGTGTTCAAGCCAGGTGTGAGAGAGATGGGAGTTCGGATCAAAAACGCACCTTTTGGTGGGGAAGAGAGAGGGTTTCTGTGAAGAGCGATAAAGGGTACCGAGTGAATATAATTTTATTGCAAAAACCAAACTGTTTGGCAAGAGGGCCAGAGAGAGAGAGAGAAAAAAAAAAGGGTTAAATAAAATCAAGGGCAACAAGGGTCTTTATACCTTATTTCCTCTACTTTATTTTCCATTTTTCTTCCAACCCTTCTCCCCATCTAACTCGAAAGGATTCCCACAATTTTTTTTCTCTCAATCCATCATTGGATTTACTTAACCAAATCCCTCAAGGGAAGAGTTGAGGGATTTCCTTATGCTTCTGTGTTTGAGTAGTAATTTATAGGTATTCACTCGACTGATTGCATCTCAGCGGCGCCAGGAATTGAAGTAGGCCGAATCCAATTATAGCAGCCATGACCGGTACGTAATTTCCTTTATCCAGTTACTTTCAGATTCGTCTTGATGTTAAGGAAATTTGAAATTGCTTTATGCAGCTGCCATTATCAGAATACAGATTGTTTCTTCTCGTCGGTTCTTAAGTTCTGACTTCTGATAATATTTTTCAACTGATCGTATAGATATGTATATGGGTTTTTGCTATATTGCTTATCTTTCTATAGTTTACCGGCTACTGCTAGTGTTCTGCTTTGTAGGTTTAAGTTAACGATTCCGACCATTTGCAGATTTCAAGTTTTCCAAAATCATGGAAGTGTGGTGATGTGGAATTTCGATGGATTAGTATAATAAAGAAGATAAAATCTGAAGAAACTTGTTTATGTATTCCAACTAATGCGAGATTATGCGACTTGAACAGTGTGTGTGTGATTGGATAGCATACAATCCTGTACTTTAATAGCTACTGAATAGATGTATGCGTGCGTGCGTATCTATGTACATATATGCGCCTAGGTGGATGATATTTTGATGGGATTTTTTGTTATGTCCCAATTAATTTTAATTATCTGCCTTTTAATTCTTCTTGTAGACTATGCACAGGAGCAGGAGATGGAAATTGAAGCATTGGAAGCTATACTTATGGATGAGTTTAAAGGTTTGTGGCACATTTGTCCTTAAAAATTCGTAGTGCTTTACTGCCTTTTCTCCCTTCTAAGATATCAGGTGCTGTTTCCTGTTTGTATTCAATGTCAGAAATTCACTCAAGTGAGAGTGGCTTAAACACTTCTGGTAGATGCTTTCACATAACACTGTCTCCACAGGTACATTGTTTTTGTTTTCCACTAGTTTTATTTTTGGTGCATGGTAAGCATCCTACTTCGGACTTATGATAAGTGATATACTGGATCTTGAAATGTAAAGAATCTGATAGTTGTGCGTACTCGTTTTTCCTCTTTAAAGAAGGGAGAGGATGAGAGGTGGAGCGTAACGGTTGGGAATGTTGGATATATAGTTAGGGTACAATTGAAATGAGTTCATTTGTTTCTTGGTTATTTAAGCTTTAATTTGAACGAGGACCTCTGAAATGAACATTTTCAAATTCCTCGAAGCATTTCTTAAACTGAAATTTCAAATATTATGGTGAATCTTTCTAGTGGCCGTTGGTGTGACTCGTTATGTCGTGCTACCCTTGCAGCTTAAATATATGGGAAATGCTTTTTAACTTTAATGATTAGATATAATAGTTATCAATTTTCTTTGTGGTTTTGGAGATAATTATGAAATATTCGTACCTAATATATTTTAGAGTTATTTGTTTGTTTGCCTGATTGTTGGAAATGAAAGTAGACGTACTGAACTCTGCTTATTCCTTTGTCGTTTCCGATAGGATGATGAAATGGATGAATCAACAACGATGCCAGGTTATTCTTACCTTTACCTAAGTTACCTTGCTATTAAATACACCTCGAGCTTTAATTATTTTTGAACTGTCCTAGTATAAGATCTGCAATACATGTGGTTATAAGCTCTTGCCCCAAACTTCTGTGCAGTTCAGCTGGGTTTGATTTTCTCGCATACAGAGAAATATCCTGATGAACCTCCACTTTTGAATGTGACAAGGTTGTATATTTATGCTATGCATGGAAATACATAGATCCTGTGTATCCTTTACTACAATAATTTGAAATAAACCGAACGATTGCATATAAGTTAGCTACTCTCATTCCATAATGATCAGTTAGTTTGGTACAAAAATGTTCTCTTCTTCAATATAATGGTATACTGATTTCTGGCTTTTTTGCTTTGTTTCTCAGTATAAGAGGAATCCCTGGAGAAGATTTGAAGATTTTGAGGGAGAAGCTTCAGCAGGAGGTATTTCCTTCAAATACTTATCGGACTTAGCTTCATAACGGACTTTAAAGCATCAGCTCTAGCTCATTCTGCCTTTTTAGATACGGAGATTACAATGATATACGACAAATACATACTGAGAAATCATAACTTCGGCACATTTGAGAAATCTGATTGCATTCCGTCAGAGTGTGTAATGCTTACCTTACGTCCTTATTATTTTATAATCCTTTGGTGGGCGGTTTCGCAATTTCCTTCAACCTTTCCCTCCAGCTAGTTAGGAAACTAACAGAAAAAATAGTAGCAGCAAGAATCTCACTGGTCATGTATTTATATAAACGGCACATGAAATTTTCTTAGTTGCCCATTCTTTTCCTCCAAAATTTTGTTCCTGATGATTAATAAGCGAAATATTGTGATGCTTCGAAACTTGTAGTTATTTGAATACTCGTAAGTTTATTTGATAATGTGGTGTACTTGACATTTACATTTTGTATATTTTGGCAGGCATCTGAAAATCTCGGTATGGCTATGATCTACACGCTTGTCACATCATCTAAAGAGTGGCTATCCGAGCGATTTGGTCAAGAAAGTAGTCTTGAGATTGCCGAGGCAGAAGAGAGGGCAAAAGAAGATGTACGAATCTCTATTTGCGTTATTATATTTTTTTTTTCTGTAAAAGATTCTCTATGCCCTTCAATTCCTCTTGTGATTGATAGTTTTACTTTTGGATTGGAAGTTTAGTGTCTATCTCTAGAATGAGTTACATTCAGGGCTTGGAGGCATCTGTTATTCTATCTTTTAAAATATTTGTCCATTGAATATTACTTAAATGAATTCATATACATTTTACTTCCCATCGAGCTCGCAGGTAATTGTACCACATGGAGAACCTGTCACCCTCGACACGTTTTTAGCTTGGAGAGAAAGATTTGAAGCAGAAATGGCACTGGAACGAGCCAAGTAATTTATTTATTCATCTTTTTCTGTGGTTTATTTTACCCTATTTTTGCTATAGTCCTCCTTGTGAAGGGTAGAATAGACTGATGATATGGTGAAGGGGAGTGGATTGCTCTCACTTCTAATAGACTGGATATCTGATTATGATCACTGGGAGCTGGAGTACCAAATTTCTCTGGTTTTTCTAGGCAGTGCTAACGGTCACATATGTACTAATGGTCAGATATTGACTACCGCTACGTTGTTGTGGTTGCTTATATGGTGTTACCATGCCAATATATGCATAGTTTAGCGGTTAAGGCACTACGACGATTAGTGGACCATATATTGAACTAATATGGTGTTACCATGACAATTAGTGGACTAATCAATCTACCCCTAAATTCTCTAAAGGCTCTACATCGGCTAATTTAGGGAATGATCATGGGTTTATAATCAATGAATACACTCTTCATTGGTATGAGGCCTTTTGGGGAAGCCCAAAGCAAAGCCACGAGAGCTTTTCCTCAAAGTGGACAATATCATATCATTGTGGAGAGTCGTGTTCGTCTAACAGACCATGAAGCTGCTTGAGTAAGGTTAGTGGTGGGTAATGGTGAAAATATAGTTTTTGGGAAGGACGAATAGGTAACGAGGCTCTCTCTTTTAATCTTTGAAGAACTTATGCGAGTTTTCAGTTGTATATGGCAAAAACCTTAGTATAAGTCTTGTTTGGAAGACCGGCTCTTCCTTGTGAGACTTGGTCGGCTTTTAGAAGAAACGTGAATGGCCAAGAGACCAGCAGGATTCTTTCTGGGATAAGAAAGGTTGTATACCAAAGCTAATGTCTTTGGTATTAGCAACCCGGAAACATTAGCTAATGACTAATGTATACTCTTTGGGGGATTTGGGTGCTAGTTAGGACATTAGATGGTGCACCGTCTCTCGGTGGCTAATACCAAAGACGATAAACCGTCCCCTCTTCTTTGATTTTGTCTAATCAGAGAGCTTTCTGTAATTTACCTGCCTTGAATTCGGATGAGTTTTCCCTTCTGTACTCTGTTTATAAATAAATATGAATCACTTGCAGGATAATGCCCGAATCGGCTCTTACCGCTCCGAAGGAAAAGAAACTTTCTGGTAGACAGTGGTTTGAGAGCGGAAGAGCTTCTGCGGTAAATTTTCGTCTTTCCTCTTCTAGCTTGTATTCCTTTACATGTCGTCTTATAGTTATGTCCATCACGCTAGGGCAGGAATATCAAACAACCGTTTTCTAAGGCTACTATGCGGTCGATTAACTATCGAAATCTCTGTTTAATCAGAGCTTCTGCAGCACTGAACGTAATATAAATGAAAAGCTTTCTGCAACTGAATGTATTGCTCGTTTTTTTTTTCCTGCAGAAAGGTGCAGCCCCAGTTACAGAAGGGTCGGACGTGGAAGACGAGGAAGAACTCGACTTTGATGAGGATGATTTTGAAGGTGCTCCCTCTAGCTCACTTGGTTGTATGAATTGTTAATAATGCTTAAATGATCATCCCTTTACATTGGTTGAATTGCAGATGATGAGGAAGACATGCTCGAGCACTATCTAGCTGAGAAGTAAGATTCTCTCATCCAGAAGGCCGTAGTTAAGAATCACTTCATTTGCTTCATTACTAGAATGGTATCAAATTTTGGCTTAGTTTTGATCAAATGACAGCACTTCGTGTGATCTTACAAGTCTCCATTTTCTTGTTTTGGTTAAAAAGGAAGGTTGTGGTGGCGAAGTTAGCCATTTTGTTCTTATATTCTATCACAAACTGATTTAGTTCAACGGGTTAAGATATTAAAATGTTCGAATTTTTTTACCTACCTATGCTTTTGAATGGAAAAATAGCTAAAGT